GCTAGTATTAAAGTATGAAGAGATAAACATTAAGCTCAGTGGAGCAAAATACAGAGTATGCCAAGGCATCTTTCAACATACCAAAGGATAGCCTTTGCACCAACTAGTACTGGAACAGCTAGAGATCCTATGTTAAAAAAAGTAACTCCAATTTTTAACTCATACCTTCTAAAACATTAAATGAATCTTAAGTCAAAATGTGAAACTTAATGCTATAAAAGAAATAAAAGCATTAAGTTTTTCTGACTCCTAGAAAGACTAACAGAAGCTTAAAAATATTATCTAAACATTTATATAAATAACTTTTATCCAGAATTTACAAAGAACTCTTAAAATCAGTAACAAACAGTTGAATAAAAAATGGGCAAAATATCTGAAGACACTTCAGTAAAGAAGTTACATGAAAAGCACAGTAAAAGATGCCCCCAAGATCACAGTTCATAAGGCAATGCAAATTAAAATCTTTTGTTACCATGACACACTCATTAGAATAGCTAATATTCAAAAGCTTGACAATAGCTGATGCTAAGTATCAAGACGGGAGCACTTGTGGCACAGCAGTAAGGAACTGAGCTGCCAACGTGGAAGTATGGGGTTTGAATCCACTGACTGCTCTGAGGGAGAAAGATGTGCAGTCCACTCTCATGTGATCTACTGCCTCTGAAAACCTGCTTGAAGATCAAGTGTCAGTCAGTTCCAACTTGATGGTACACAACAACAACAAGAGTCAAGCAGAAGGTTCTAGTGGAACTAGTAGGGAATTGCACTAACCAAGTGCCTAAACCTTTCCAGTGGTTCGCATCCACCAGCTGCCCCTCAGGAGAAAGGCAATCTCCTGCGTAATTTACAGCCTCTGAAAACCTGCTGGAGGGTCAACTATGAGTCAGTTCCGCTTCAACGGCAAAGAGTTTTGACTTTTCAAAAGTCAAGTGTACAAGCATTAAATCCTTATTTTCAAGAGTTAATAGATAACAAGCAGAATAAACTTGTTAATTAAAAACAGAAAGGCAAACAGCAGAAGGAAGCGCTAGAATCTAGGAATCAGAAACTAGATGGGGAGGCATGGGACAGAGGGTTTTTTAAACTATTCACATACATCACCTTTATTTCTTAGTATTTTTTTTTTAGTTTGAATGCATAGTAGTTTGACCCAGCAAAGTTGTTTTCTACTCAGCAATTCACACACTTTTTTTTCTTCATTTGGTTACAATCCCCTCAAGGTGACAGTATTCCTCCCACTGCCTTCTTGGGTTCCCAATGGCAAAAAAAAAATAAGTCACCAGGAATTGATGGAATACCAATTCAACTGAGATGTTTCCACAAACAGAAGCAGCCCTGGACTGGATCACTTGATTTTGTGCCTCAAAATGTGGAAGATAGTTACCTGCCAAACAACTGGAAAAGATCTGTCTTTGTACCTATTCCCAACAGAATGTAAAGATCATCAAACAACATCCTTAGCATGACTGTCAAAATAAAATACTGAAGAATATGCAAAAATGGCTGAAATAGTATATCAGAAGACAACTGCTGGAAATTCAAATTGGGAGTCAGAAGATGCCATAGAATGATGACCATCACTACTGAGGACAGATGGATTTCGACTGAAAGCAGAGAATACCAGAAAGATGGTTACTAGTATTTTATTGACGATGTACGCAAAGGCAGTTGACTGTTATAACTTCATGTTATAACTGACATGAAGAAGAACAGGAATCCTAGAATCCTAGAACACTTAATTGTGCTCATAAGAAACCTAAACAGAGACCGGAAGCCATCCGAACAGAACGAGGGAGCAATGCATGGTTTAAAAGCAGGAAAGGCGTGCATCAGGACTGTGTCCTTTCCCCACACTTATTCCATCTGTATGTTAGCAAATCATTTGAGAAGTTGGACTCTACAAATGTGGCATTAGGTTTAGCGGAAAACTCTTCAACAAGCTTTGTTACACAAATGATACATCTGCAAGCAGAAAGTCAAGAGAACCTGAAACACCTGTTACAGAAAAGCAAAGACTACAACCTTCAATATGGATTCCACTTCCACATCAAAGAAATAAATATTCTCACCACTGCAAAGAATGGACAATACCAAACTGTGCTCATAAAGAACCTGAACATGATCATAGAAGTAGTTCTTCAAAAATAACAGGAAATGCTGCATGCTTTAATATGAAGAAAGATGTGTCTAGTAGGGCTGTATCCTTTTTCGCTAGTGATACAATCTATCTGCTGAGTAAATAATTTGAGAAATTGGACCAAATGAAAATGCGGCATCAGGATTTGAGGAGCATTCATCAACAAGCTGCCATATGCACATGATAAGCATTCCTATTGAAAATGAAGAGGACATGAAGTTGAAGAACAGCAAAGACTAATAATGCCTTTGGTGTGAATTATACTTCAACAGGTTGTATTGTTGTTATATCCATCGAGTAACCTGAAATTCATAGTAACCTGCCCTTGTCCTGAGCCAGTCTTACTGACTCCAATACACCTAATCCCACTGCCCCAGTCAACAAAAATCTTTTAAAATGAGCCAATAAACATGATCCTGATAAATGGAGAAAAGAGTGAAGTTATCAATTCTTTCATTTCACTAAGATCTCCCATCAGCACTCCTCCCTCGAAACAGCAGGCAAGCAATGTACGGCCCTAGACAAACCTACTAGCCTCGGCCAAGTGCTTCCAAGTACAAACAACGTACTGCACTGCACAAATCTACAAGCTCTGTCAAAGTAATTAAAAGCAACGATGTCACTTTAAAGACAAAGGTGCTCCTGACCTAAGTAATCATATTTCCAATTGCTTCACATGTATGTAAAAGCTGGACAAAGAACAAGGAAGACCAAAGAACCAAAGAAAGACCATTGAATTGTGATGTTGGTGAGGAGCACAGAATTAATTACTGACTGCCAAAAGAACAAACAAATCAGTCTTGAAGAAAGGGAAGGCCCAGGTGCTCCCTGGAAGCAAAGCTGGTGAGACCGAGTTTCATTCACTTTGTGCCCACTCTCGGGGCGGCCAGGCTCTGGACAGGAATATCATGCCTAGAAAAGAAGAAGGTCAGCACAAGAAAGGAAGTTACATATTACTTGCAAGGTCACAACTTTGTAGGTACAAGAATACTGGAAAAGACAGAGAACTTTTGAGATTAAAATGACTGCTTTGAGAACTTTTTTAGAATTTAAGATGATAAACCACTAACAACATTTAAGAAGATAAATCATTACTGAAACACTTCTTTAGTTAACTCATTCCTGTTAAGACAGTAACTTTTAAAAAACTTTTAAAGTTTAAAATATCAGCCATTTCCTAAATTGCCTGATTTCCAAATTTTAATTCAATATTAAAAGAAAGAGTCAGGCAGGAAATATAAAAATGGTATTATAATTACGAAAATTACCCATAACACGTTGATACCTGACACCAAGATGACCCCAACTCACAACCACCTTAGCAAAACAGAACAAAATAGATGATATATAGTCCTGAAGCATTCTCACAACTGCCACCTTTTGGCTAATTTTCAGAACTGTATCAAACCTTTCTTCTTAGATTCTATTTCTCCTGGAAGCTCTACAGAACTCTGTCCAGCACATGTGACCCTTGCTGGTATCTGAAATATGGTGGCACCCTTTCCAGCATCACAGTATCATGCAAGCAACATCCCAGCAAAAAACCTGACAGGTCAGTAGTGGATAATAAATATAAAATGCATTTTTCAAAAGTTATTCCTTAATTTTTACTATTAATGTACTCAGTGCCTCCGTATAATAACAGAAACAGATATGTGTTACATATATGTTGTACATACATGTATATCATATAAGTTAGACATATATTGCAAAGAGCTTTGTTGTCTAAAGAAATATACCACACAGAAAAGTCATTTTCAAAGGGAGAAAGGAAGGGAGCTCTGGTGGCCTAGTGGCAAGACACTGCACTGCAATCCTAGAGGTACGTGGTTCAAATCCACCAGATGCTCTGCTGAAGAAGGAGGGGGCAATCTCCTCCTGTACCAGTCAGATCTGATTTGACGGTACACATAAAAAATAATACAAAGGGAGAAAGGGAGGGAAGGTTGACAGAACAGCTGAATGTTCTTGCTCTGGGGGCGATCGGGAAAGGGGAGTATCTTTTTCCAACTCGCTTACAATCCCACTCTTCATCTCTTACTGGTTCTTTCCAATTTTAAAGGTATCGCGGCTTAACTTTGATTCATTTCTTCCATCTTCAGTCCTTTTGGCATCTCTAACACATCTCAACGCACCCCTGCTGATACAGTGGTTTGAATGCTAACTGAAAGGTCAGAGATGAAAACCAATGAGGTGTTCTAGGAGTGAAAGATGTTAGTAATCAGGTTCCATAAAGATTGTTACTGTGTGCCACGGACTTGGGACCTACCCCATGCCACCCCCTTGCAGCTGACCATTCAGCGGGCTGCCAGAAGCAGTAAACTGCAAAGGAGAAGACTGGTCATCCTTCTCCTGCAGAGCAGCTGGGAGATCAGAACCACATGCCTCCGGGATTGCAGCACAGCATCTTACCAGCAGGCCACCAACGCTCCCTTCCATAAAGATTACAGCTTTTGAAATACTAGGGCCAGTTCTACTCTATCCTATGACTATGAGTCGAAAATAATCCTTAGACTCTTCTAAACCTGGACAAGACAATCAAAGCTGGCCCAAGATTACTTTTAGCATGTTGTACACACAGGCCCATGCTACTCAACTTCTCAATCTACTACCCTCTCAGTCACAGATAACTTCATCTTAATAATCACAGCAAAAAAACAGCTCTGTCTTCCCAGATGCCACACCTTTTCCATACAAAGTAAGGTTATGATCCGGAGGACCGAATCCCCAAGACCCACGTGGTTCCCTGACTGCTGGCTCCAACCTTGGTACTGAAACAGAATTTGACTCAGCAGGACTGGCCCCTCTGTGTCTGCACACTCCTTCCCTCCAGCGCCCACTCATACACCTCCCTGCTTGCTACCTGTTGGCAGTGCTGGTGTTGCTGCTCCCACTGCTGTGTTTCGGTGCCCGGCTCAGCCTCCGTGGGGGCTTCGAGTGCTGCAGCCGGGGACTCGGCATGGAGGGGAACGTTGAAGCATAGCCATGTTCACACTCTAAAAAGATAGGAAAAAAAAAAGAGTATTTGGTAAGAGGAATAGATGCAAAATAATGGAGCCACAGATGATCTCAATGCCTTGCAGTAACAAGTTGTTGACAGTACAAGAAAGAAAAAGGCTCAAATTATCACTCTTTATAAGAGTGTATAAAATGTCAGTTCTTGCCTGGACATCAATCCTATAGCATTACTCATCCCCTAGAAGGTTTACTGGGTAATTTCTCCTTCTCAGAAATCCTTTCCTTCAAGGATTTGTCTTGACTTAAATGTTCTACTTTCTGAGACCATCCCACCCTCAACAATTTCACTGCACTTCAAAAACCCCTTTTCCTCTCTCTCTATTTTGAGAGTGTTTCTCTAAGCCATATCTTTCCATAATCCATCACCTCGAGGTGGGAACGCTGGCACCCTTGTCCATAGGGAGCTGTACGAACAACTCAAAGGCCATGCCTCTCTGGCAGTTCAAATCCACCAGCCGATCTGAGGGAGAAAGTGGGGCAATCTCTGTGTATGTGATTTACAGCCTCAGAAACCCACTGGAGGGTTAGCCAGGAGTCACTTTCAACCCAACAGCAATGAGAGAGATTTCTAAAGGGCTGTTTTTCCTCCTGACACCATAATTCTCAATGTCCCTGCTCTTCATACCCTACTAATCTCTTTACATTCCCAAAGTGCTCTCATCTCATTAGCTACTTAAGATACTCCTTAACCACAACTCAAAGTCCTCTCTTCCCTTCTCTCCAGCGAGGCATTTCCTTCCATTATTGAGATCCAACCTGTGTCCTTGCCCCTGTGCCCAGTTCCCACTGCTTCCTTCTCTTTCATCTGTCTTCCCAAATCTTCGGCTTCACACCTTCATCCCTAACATCCTCTCAAACTGCCCACCTCACCCTACTTTTCCTCCTTTTTACACCATTCTTCTTCAGCTTTGTCATCAATTCTCCAAAGATCTCTTCTCTCTTAATTTCACACACCCCTCAGCTGCTCCTGACTCATCCTGACCCTACAGGGCAGAGGCGACTTGCCTGCAGGGCGTTCGGTGGCTGTAAATGTCACCGTTCAGGAGAGCCCACTGTCTCACCTTTCTCCCACCAAGTGGCCCTGCTTGGGAACCTGTGCTCAAACCACTGCGCCACCAGGGCTGCTTCTCTCTGGTAGCATCTCAAGTCCCCCCATGACAGGCCCCACACTCGCCTGAAAGTGCCGAGGCTCCACACACAAGCTATACACACCCGCAGCTTACACTCACAAGGGTGCTCCTCCTCACATCCATGCACACATGGGTCACTCTCGGCACAGATGAGCCCCCCAAATATCCAGGGGCCCCTGTTCACTGACTATACAGTTGCATGCGTCTTCCTACACACCTCATCTCACTCACACATGTTCCCTTACATGTGTGGCCTTCCTCACGACCACATCTCCCCTCACACAACCCCCTTCACACAAATGCACTTCCCAGTGCACCCCCATTCTCACCCACAAGCCACACGTACACGTCTGCACCCTGTATCTCACACGTGCACCTCTCTTCTCACTCTTGCAAACACACACGGGTGCATGAGGACACGTACACGTACACATGTACACGCGTAGACACACACACACACACACACACACACACACAGTTACATGGACCCCTCTCCAGCCATATACACTCCTTCCCTGACACGCGCACCCCCTCGAATCACATGCACACCCCTCTCCTCCCACGTTCACGCACTCCTCCCTGACACGCGCATCACTCGACACGCACACCCCTCGGGTCACATGCACACTCCCCGCTTCTCACGTTTGCCAACCCCCACACTCCTCCCCAACACGCGCATCACCCCTGACACGCGCACCCCTGGATCATCACATGCACACTCCCCGCTTCTCACGTTCACCACTTCACACACACACACTCCTCTCTAACACGCGCATCACCTCTAACACGCTCACCCCTGGATCATCACATGCATACCCCCACACACTCCTCCCTGACACGCGCATCATCCCTGACACGCGCAGCCCTCGGGTCACATGCACACCCCTCACCTCTCACGTGCGCCACCCACTCATGCACTCCTCCCCGACACGCGCATCACTCCTGACACGCGCACCCCTCCACACCGTGCACCCCTCGACACGCACACCCCTCTCGTCACATGCGCACCCCTCTCCCTGCACGTGCGCCACCCGACACACGGACCCCTCCCCTGCCACGTGCGCCCCCCTGCCAGCGCGCACCGCTGCCCTCACCCGCCGCGCCGCACCGCCCCGCGGAGCAGAAGCCCACCCGCACACACCGCGAAGGCGTCGGCATCCAGCCGTTACCTCGCTCCCGGCGCTCCAAAAACTCCGCCGCCTCCAGCAGGCGCTGCACGTTGATCATCCGCACCCGCTCCATGAGCACCGCGGGTGGCGATCGCGGCCTCTCCGCGCCCCCTCCCCGCGCCGACAGGAGGCGC